TTGATACCGAAAATTCTCATGACGGCAAAAGTCTGTCCATCTGTGAACAACGCTAGCGGCTAAGCCGTTCAGCCGATTTTCTCAAAAATTGAGATTTCCCAATCTATCTGGCTGATGTTGCCGCCCTTTTGAATTTAAAACTGATATTTTAATTTTGGGGGTACTTCAAATGAAACCCCTGGGACATTCTCAAAAAACTTAGGTTCGTTTTGGATTAAATTTTGTTGTTCGTGTCAAGGACATGTAAGAGGTGCAGGTCTCATTTTCGTTAAAAACCTTCATTTTCCGACAATTGCAAAAATTCAAATTTTCTTCGCGCCTTCCCACAATTACAATTATGAAAATAATTTTTCGTAATGAAATGTGTTTATCAAAAACAGATCAATTAAGGTCAGTTCAATTTTTCGAAAATGAATATTATTTTTTTCAAATTTAGCGTTACAGTTTATACTATTATTTTCTCCGAAACGGCTCTAATTTTTTCAGGAATGTAGCAAAAAATGATAAAAAAAAGTGACGCTGATCCCGTTTTTGACGCACTCTGTAATTTCGAAAATTGGAGAACAGGTTGCTGCAACTTCTACTAAGCTACTACTGCTAGAATAATAATTTCGCTGGAGTAACTCGCTGTCCTTTGAAGGGAGTTACTGATGCCACAATTCCTATAGAAGGCAACATTGACTCCCAGGGAGTCCAGTGAGTTCAGGATTTATAATTTGCCTTGTGCAGTGTCATTCAGCAAGTTGCTGCATCTTCTACTAAGCTACTACTGCTAGTAATAATAATAATGATGATGATGATAATAATAATAATAATAATAATAATAATAATAATAATAATAATAATAATAATAAAAGGTAAATTTGTACTTCCCACGCTTTTGAAATGTCAATGTAATTTGAAAGGTGCCAGGAGGATGTCATTCAAATCTTGAAATGGAAGTTTAGGTTTAATATTATTGAATAATTAAATCTATTTTAAATTGTGTCCTATAATTGAGTAAAATGTGAAAATGAATAGCTAATTTCGCTTTGTGGGAATGACGTGTAATTCATATAAAAACACGTAATTGTAATGGATATAACAATATTATATTTTACTATCTTTCTTCATTTTCTTGCTAGCTATATTTAGAATGCTGATTTGCAAAATGTGCATCCCATACGAATTGGCAGTCATTGTTGCAATGCGGCATTGATAACAGAAGATGATAGTGACATCCGCTGTTGATATAAACTAATAATTTTATTTACAGCTAAAATATGCATCATAAAACAGAATAAACAAAAAATAAATAAATTCACATTTCAAATATTTCTTCTTTGACTGAAAACGAAAATTCCACAAGTAAAATCAGAATAATGACAAGCAGAGTTTCATAAAAGATATTTATTTTCAGAATCCAGTAATGAATTCTCTTACTAAATTAAAGTACAAAATACCATGGTATAAACACATATATATAAAACACACATCTGGATTAAAGGCACTCAGTTATTTGAAATTCATCTTACTATAAATGACTAGTACATCTCATATTGCATATGTGGTTCTACAAAATTACTTGCTTGATTGTACAGGATGGCCACAACTTCCCTTAAATAATCTAACCTTTCCAATTCTTGAAACACTTTTGCCCACCGTAATACTTAAGGTATTATTATATCAAGTGTTGAAATGCACCCTAGGAATTCAGAAGTGAACTGCTGTATATATTATTTGGATTGTACACAACAAATTTAAAATCATATTTAAAAATTAGAAAGTTTATTATTTTTCAGAGTCTAAAACTAATGCCTAATGACCACTTTACTATTACCACACAACTATTGCACTTTTTGACAATTCATATTTGAGATATCACTTTTCAATTTTCTTGAGATATTCAGGAGGTACTGTTGTACTATAATATATTGTTATTCACCACATTACTAAAATATCAGAAATACTTAATATAATAAATTCTGGTGTTCAAATGGATAGAAATCAGGATATATTTAGAAACATTTCCAGACAGAATTGTATGTTCATTCATATAAGCAAAAGAGCATTTGTTGTATACTTACTCACCTCACACTTCTTTCCCAAAAATGTTTACTAAATATATAAATAAACATTCAATGGCAGCACTAGTTTAATTGATACAAGTTAAAATAAAAGTAATCAAAAAATGTAAACCTCACACATACAATAACATTACATACAAAATATCTAAAATAATTAAAATAGTAGAGCAAAAAAATATTACAATTATTTTAATGAACATTGTTGAGAGTCGTATCAGACTTCCCTGCAGTTCAATAAATTTCTGATCATTTCCCTGATGAACTAATTTCACATTTCCAGAAAGCCACCACCCTGTACTTCTTATCACATCCTGATTGTTCCAACAAATAGGTACACTAAAACTCATAAAAAAATTTACAAATTCAAGAATTTTACAACTAAGTATTAAATTCATGACAGAATACAAGTATTAAAATACATTTAATTATCACACTTGTGGACGGATATGTACAAATATAAATGCAATGTGAAAATTCTTATGATTTCTAGAAAATTGTGCATCACTTATTTAGTTATTAATTTATTTCTTGGCTTTGAAAAACCGGTTAAATAAATAAATAGAATCACTTCTTTACAATGTTTCCTTACATATTACAATTTTCACTGTCGGTGCAGAACAAGAAAATAGTTTCAGATAATAAAAATCACAAGTATTTCAACTGGCTACAGAGAAATAATTAATTTTTTGAATTGCATTTTCACAAAATTAATTGCTTAACATGTTGGCTCAATGTTTTTTTACATCCTATTAAAATAAAATGAACATTAAAGTTATGGAATATATTTTATCTTGAAAACAAAATAACTTTTGTAAACAATTAATATGTATACAAAAAGCAAATTTTGAAAATTTAACTTACACATTTCCATAAGATATTCTGACAAACATTGGAACGTATCAAAAAGGTATGTAGTAGCTGTGTGAGGGATGTTAAAATAGGAAAAAATAGTACATTTGAAAGTTGTTTGCTGACAATTCATTTGAACTGTTATTAAGAAATAAAATGATAGCGAGTATATTAATATACCAAAAAATTTCCATAATACTTCTCTTATTCAAAAACACCTTAATAAATTATTTTTGCCATGTAGGAAAATCACCATTGATACTTTTTCAGCAATACCAGGCATTGCAGGGTTACATAAGAGTAACAACGAGATGCTGATCATGTGCTATTCAAAAGAAATTCTTTTATATCTTGTATAAACAAGCTACAGCAAAACCATATTATAAGAGAATCCCACTTTTTGAAAACAATCTCAGTTAACTATAATGTTAACTTTAAGATTCTGCATATCTTAATACATAAAATTGATGTACTATATGGGTGTGTAAATGTTTCATTAAACCTTTGGAATCGTTGTATGTTCTCAAACTAAGGAGGAACGTTTTTAGCAATTATACCAATGAAAATAAGAAAATATAGGCTCATAACCCCTAAAAAATTGGTTCCATTAAAAGTTTTAACGAGAACTCGCCAAGGAAAGCTCGCAGAACACAGCATGGAGAACAGACAGAACATTAAATGAAACGCCATGTTACTTCAGCAAATAGTTCAGGATAAATTGCTGTACATTAAGATATACTATATTTAATATATATTGGTTTCTTAAATATTATTAATATTATAGTTTTAATAAATTAATATATTAGCCAAAAGATGTTTTGACATCCAGATAATCACGTAAACACAAAAAATAAGCCTGTATTGATGATCTGATAAATTAACATACCCCATGAACAAGAAATTAATTCCACTTAACTATTTTTTGTGATATGGCAGGTACTTATACTGAAGTATGATGAGAGTTATTAAACAGAAACTCTGACATATAGAAATAGACATTAAATTTTTGCCTACACTTTCAAAGTATTTCCTAAGGGTTTGTTGTGAAGATTGTCTCTATTATGTTGAGAAAATTTGATTGATTGATTGATTGATTGATTGACTGACTGACAGTTTTAGAGGGTGCTTCAACAACTGGTTGAAAAGAGGTTTCACAAAACTGAAACAATCAATATAAAACATTTGGATTCTGACACAAACTTATTATCATTTAAGAAAAATTACCTTCTCTACAGTAGAGGTACTAATAATTGAATACTCAAGCAATAGTAGTTTATTTCATCAAAACTTATAAATAAGTTTACTTCATAGAAAATAACCCTCATAAAATTATCAGGATATAAGCCTGATACAAATAAGCTATTCTAAATGGAATTTCCAAGAGACAATAAAATTGATATACAGAATATTTTCAAATAAGGTGCACCAAATGTAATTATCTGGTATAAAAATTATTAAACAATGATATATCAGTCAATATGAATCTATGATGTGTATCTACATTGGATCAATTTAATTATGTTTATCAAAAAATAACTTTATTAACAAAAAAGGTTCTAAAAAAATCAGTTCTTATTAATTCTAATTTTAAGTAAATACTTCATATAAAATATATTCCATTTCTATATTTCATTAAACAAGCAGCAGATCTGGTCTATTGAACATACAGAAATCTTATATGTGTATGTGTCTATAAATTTACTATGGTATATAGGAAAACATAACTTCTCAATATATTTAAATCATAAGCTGTAAAACTAACACTGCTCAAGACATTAGGTAGATATTAAATTTGTACCTGAATCCAAAGATTCATATTAATTAAAATAATAAAATACTATATTCGTGCAAAATGCACTTTTTCACATTACTGATAGCATGGTTTGACATTTTTGGAGCAGCAAATTTCACAATATTGGTTGACTACTGCACTGTTCATAAATACAATACTCAGAACTAATTGATCACTTGGGTATGCATTACATAGCTTTCTCATCTTTTTAATACAAAACACTTAAAAATGTAATGAAACACTTTTTTTATACGTGAAAGAATTGTCAATATATTACTTTTTGGCTATTTTAATTTTATTTTAAAGCTGATCTAAGCTTTGAAACATTAAATACAGTGATATTTGTGATAGAAACATTCATTGTGTATATACATTATATAAATTATATTATAATTTTTAGAGCATATTCTTACTTTTTTAGTTACTGCCATCTGTGTAAATAACATAATGAATAAATAATTATAAAAATCCATATTCTAGGAGAGACTATAAACACCTATGTGCCCCTCCTTGTAAACAATCATCTGTGCATACGGTTGCCGTAAGTCCTGAAGAAGCAGGATACATCCTGAATATTGACATGCCTCATTGTCCTGAAAGATTTTTGTATTACTGCCATATACTGTATTTTAGGACAACTTGTCAACATCAGAGAACAATGCGTGACACAAGAGAATGCAAGTGGCAAATTCCTCTACTGGGTAAATTCCTCTACTACAAGTTAATAGCTAGCTGATCTTGTGAGGATGTTACTCCTTCAAAAGTATTCTCCTTCAAATAACTTGAATACATTGTTATTTTTGACACAATCCTTATATGTTAAGTAAATATTGTTATTTCTGACACCTTACAGAGCAATCTGAGAGCTGAAAAATAAATAAATAAAGGTTCCGTGAGTTCTGAATCTAAGTACTTCTGACTCTCTTGTAGTGTCTTAGAAAGGTCCCAAATGTCCAGTCGATAAGTGTTTTAATAATTACCAAAGTCAATCTTATTTAAATACCTTGAATGACTTCACATATTTCATCATGGAAAGAAAAGAAAGGAAGGGAAGAAAAGAAAGGAAGGAAAGGAAAGAAAGAACCAACGAAAGAACGAACGAACAAAAGAAAGAAAGAACAATTGAATGCACGAAAGAAAGAATGAAAAAATGAACAAAAGAAAGAACGAACAAAAGAAAGAACAAACGAAAGGAAGAAAAGAAAAGAACTGACCTGGGTAACCTGGACGAGTCAAGAAAATTCTTTCCGGAAAAAGTAGTCCCCCTGAGATATTTGGGAGTGTGCAATGTAATTTGTCTTCATCTACTATTTAGTTGTTCACTTGATATATTATTTAGCTGTATAAAAAAAAAACAGTTTGTTCTGAAACACATTTTGGATGTCCTGGATTCTATTGCTATTCTTATGGCAACCCTATCTATGCACCTAAGCACTCCACAATAATACTGTCCTCAAAAGGCATAAAAAAAATTGTATTAATTTTTCTGTCATTTAATAATGAGTTACTGAACTGCTCTGAATAAAATATTTAATGAGCATTGGCTGAATGTAATTTTTAAAATTGTTCAAAGATCTTAAACATTTTCTTGTAGTTAGATTTCAAGTTTCCCATAACAAAAAAACAGAATTATACAGACACAGTACAGAAACTAAAAAGAGTTTTTTATCACAAACTTCATTAGACTATGCAATTGTAACATAATTATTAGTTAATTATGTTCGATATAAAACAGAACAACATTTCTAATTTGTTTTTAATTTTTATAAATATGAACATCACTATGGATAGATATAATACTTATCTTGTGTTTTAGCCATTATGGCTCTCAGTTCCTACATCTCCAAAAAAAAAAAAAAAAAAAAAAAAAAAAAAAAAAAAAAAAAAAAAAAAAAAAAAAAAAAAAAAATCTCACAAACTTGTCAGGCATTGATTAAACAATATAAATAATCTAAATACATCTATAATAAAAACAGTAAAAAAATAAATAATTGACTAGAAAATGATGGAAAAAAACTTGTGACAGCAGCTACTTTCAGGTAATTTCATCATCTTTTTGCATTAGCTCTTCTGTGTCAAGTTCACAAACAGGAACAACTTCAAAGGCTTTGTGTAAGTCCCAGGCACCATCTGTAAAATAAAAATAGAAGAAATAGTTATGTCTACACTGCTAATAATAGGACAGAAAATGAGCAACACTAAATAATATCAAGCCAACATGGGTAATCATGGTTGTTAAAGGGTGAGCACTATTACATTTTGGGGATTTCTTCTCTACTGAGCACTCTAGACCAGACCCTCCCAATTCATCTACATTGGGAGCCATAGTTACACCCACCAGTGTAATGTTGAGAGTATTCATAACAAAAAACAACTAAATTAAAATTTTTGAATTTTCAGTTTGAAGTAAATTGAGTCTCTGAAATCATCTGAAATGACTGGTCAAATCCAGGATGGCACTTTAGAAACCACTACATCACTTTTGATAAAAGATGAAATTGTTAATCTCTATGGTGAGATTGATGATAGGTTAAGTACAATAAATAATATTATGATTTATAATTTACCAGAATCTGTTTAACAAAATACAGATATGGAAACTATTAATAATTTATCGAGGCCTTCTACACTACTGAAATACCTGAATTTAAATATTTTTGAATAGGCAAAAAGGAGACTAAACCGAATGACACAGAACAACCATTGAAATTAGCCTTTCAGATCCATAACATTGTGTCTCCCATTTTACTGATCGAACAAAAATGAAAACATCCAAAAATCATAGAATGAAAGAACACCTTTACCAAAGTAAACTTTTCAATGGGATCATATCTAAAAATACATTGTTTGAGCGTTTTTCAAATTTGCTACTTTTGGAACAAACCAAATATTTTATTCAATTTAGTAAAGATTCAAATTCACCAGAAATTATTTACAATTTTTACTTTGACAAATATATTAATCTATTAAATAAACATATATTAAGGTTGCATAAGAAGTTTAAAACATCATGGGTATAGTCATCAGCTTGAAGGCTGGTTGGATCCTCAACTAATTTGTGAAATTCAAATGTGAATTGAATAAAGCCTTTATTTCACTTGTCAGTATCATTGTTACATAGGAGAATCAAGAAAAAAAATACCATCTAGTACTACAAACATGCAGGAGTTGTTACAAAAATTGTAGATATTGTAACATTTTTTTGGAAATGCAATCTCAAAATTCAAAGATTTCTTCCAAATTCACATGGTCTGAAGATGAAGCAGATTTTATCACAGAGTATTCACTCTAAAGCTGCGTGAGTGAGGAGAGAGAGAGGAGAGAGAGAGAGAGAGAGGACAGAGAGAGAAAGGAGAGAGAGAGAGGGAGAGAGAGAGGGAGAGAGAGACGGAAAGAGAGGGAGAGGGAGAGAGAGAGGGAGAGAGAGGGGGGATAGAGAGGGAGTTGGTG